TGAATTGTTCAATTATATAATCGAATACATTATATTTTCACTTAGGCTACCTTGAATTGAGTTTTTCCCTATCATGAAAATTACTAGTCATGAATATAGCCATCATGAGCTATCATGGAAAACCTCCTAATCACGGGTCTCCCATCAGGTTGTGATCACATTAAGGGCAGGTTTAGGTTATCTTATGTCTGACTAGGAAAAGTCTTACAAATAATTTGTGTTCAGTCAATATTTATTGAATTAATTAATGTAAAGTAGATTGAATTAAGAGGGGACAAGTGAGAGACCAGTGGAAAAACCTCAAATTGTCTTATATTTACACTTTCATTAATGTTCTACCCAATAGACAGATAGAATTATGGATCTGGAGATCAAGAGAAAGGAGAATACTTAGTGTTTAAAGATGCTTATGTGTCTTGGAAATCTTCTGTGAAGTAGTTTGAAACCATGATAGTTTGTACAATGAGCAAATGTATAAGGAACAGAGATCCAAGAATGGAATCTTAGTGAATATCTACATAGTAGGTAAGGCAGGAATAGAAATCAATAAAGATGAAAGAGAAAAGACAATTAAAGAAGTGAAAAAAGGACGAGTAGAGGTCAACCCAAAAGGTGAGAGGAAAGATTGACAATGACAATTTCTGTAACGTAGAGGAAGGGAGTGGAGGGAACATATCAAATGACTGTGATCTTCAGAGTAAGCCATAAAGGTCATTTATAAAGAGTGAGAGAGGGTAGGAGTGGAATTTTGTCTTGAAAAAAAATTGAAAGATTTTCAATACACTCTGCAGGAACTGTAACAGAAAGTCTATTATAAATGATGAAGTGTTTGCTGTCTAGAAGTGGGGTGAGAAAGTGAATGAGCAACTGTCCCAGCATCAGAATTTACCTATACAAAAATGAGCTGATGAAACAACAGTGGATGTAGAGTGTCATAAGTGTCACCTGAACCATTATTAAATGACTGACTCTGAGTTTGAGACTAGAAAGCGATCAATAGGAATTATGGGGATCTAGATTCTCAAGTAAAGACAAACTCAGGAATTAAACAATAAGAGAGGAAAAGATGAGGATGTGATCATAGAAGGGACCTTAGCTATAAAGAGCAATGGAGGCATGAATTAATGCTTTCAAATCTGCCTATTATTATGAAAAACATAAACCACTTCGAGATATAGATAGAGCTCTCTTCTCAGGTCTCCAGATCCAACTTCAGATCCAACTTTGTGCAATTGATACTTATTTTATCTTCTACCACTAAGTTTTTGGTATCTGTCTCTTATTTACCACACTTTCCTCCAGGTTCTATCTTCTATCTAATCAAATCGCAAGACTAAAAAAAATTATTACTAGTGCTGACACTTGCAATGTTCAATAACTTAATTAATGTTATTGTACTTTCTATGTTTTAAAAGGTCTCCAATATGTCCAGTTTTACAAAATCTATGCATGAAATTGAACTTCAAAAATCTCCAGTCTTAAAAAAGATAACAGGCCTGTAAAAGTTATGAGATTAAAACCTCAACAGTCAACATGTTGATATATGTCTCATACATCATGTCATCTGAATGTTAGCCTTAAATTTTAACTATTTAGGTAAAGCTTACAATATTCAGCAATACTATATTACTTGTTTGTTTTTAGATTTAAACAATGGTATAATCTGATTATAGCCAATGAATGAAATTGACCAATTAACAAATTTGACAAGTTCAACATCATCCTAAATATAACCAGTCAACTGAAACTGCCCTGGGTGATCCAGTTAGCTACAATGTTTGAATATGAAGGTGGAAGACAGCATCATTCACCACTCTATAGACTGTATTGGTTGGCCTTCCACACTCTGCTGGTGTCCCCTTCTTAAGAAGAAATAATAATATAATGTTGCTGTTAATAATGTTATTTTCATTACCAACACCCCAATAGCTACCATTTTTTGAGTACTTACTATGATTCACTCATTTTTCTGTGTTATGTAATTCAAATACTTACTTCAGAGATATTTATTTATCTGTAGTAGAGAGGAGGTCTTGCCAAGTTGCCCAGGCTGGTTTTGACCCCTGGGCTCTCTTACCTTCACTTCCCAAAGTTCTGGGATTACAGGTGTGAGCACTGCGCCCAGCTCCTCAGAGATATTTGTAACTATCCTAACTTGTAGATTAAAAAAAACAAGAGCTTATGATCAGCCTAACCTTACAAAGGGAATCTTCTTCAAGCCATAATATATAATAAAAATACCCAAGACAAGTTTTGGGTTAAGCTTTTAAGTTGATTTTAAGTGTGTTAATACTCTAAAATATAACCTGAATCAAACTTCCAGGCATATATTTGCTAATTAATAAGTAATTTATTTATTTATTTACTTATTTTTTTCTTTTTGAATTGGAGTCTTACTCTGTCACCCAGGCTGGAGTGCAATAGCACACTCATGGCCGCCCCAGCGTCAACCTGCTGGGCTCCAGCAATCCTTCCACCTCAGCCTTCCAAGTAGCCAGAACTACAGGTTCACGCTACCACACTGGGCTATTGTTTTTGATTTATTGTAGAGACAAGGTGTTGCCAAGTTGCCCGGGTGGTCTCAAATCCATGGATTAATATGCAATTTAAAACAAGCAATTTAATTTTCTGGAAAGAAAGACTATTTATTTTGAAAAGAATATAAGTATTTCAATTTTTCAAAAATACCAAATTAAATTTCTAGAAAATAAAATATCTGTCAGATGTGTTGCCATCACAACAAAAAATCCATAGTAAAACCATAATACTCTCTGTAGTTTTTTATTGTAAAATTCTCAAACCATTTTCTCAAGTATAGAATTTGCATTCATGGTTTTGGCAACAAATTTTAGTTAGTTAGCTTTGACAAAAATAAGATAATGTTCAACTTGTCCTTTCTTCTCTGTTACTGAAAATGTGTGTTTGGCTTACCTCTTTCCACACATTTCCTCAACACATGCCTTCCCGAGATGGAAAAGAGAAGGGGAGGAGAGGTGGCTGCCAAGTGAGAAGGGAATGTGTCTTACATAACTAAAAAGGGGCTAGAGGAAGTGGCATATACAGCAAAAGAATGTTCTTCTTAGATAAAGGACTATCTCCATCTCTTATCCAAAAAAGAAAAATGGGTTTACCATTCAGTTTCCGTTGACCATATCTTCCAGTGTTTTGCCTCTTCTCAAAGGATCATAACTTTTAGTAGGTGTTTTTTTTGCATTTATTTTTGGGGGCATCTAACTCAGTTATTTTCGACTTTTCAAAGAAGAAAAAATCTAGCATTTAGAATTTAGGCATTTGTTTGTTTGTTTGTTTTAAAAAATAGTATTTCATGACGTTTAAATAAATACACATCAGTGAACTGTATCAATACTTCTGAAAATAATATCTTTATAAAATCCAATAAAGATATAAAATCCATTGTCATACCCAATGTCATTAAAATAAGCATTTATATAAATTTCCTAAATGATTATTTGCATATATTCTGTATAATACTTCTTTACTATCATATGAACCTATAGCCCTCTAATCAGTGTATTTATTCTGTGTTGAAATTACAGTGGAGATGGTGGTATTCTGAAGTAATTATTAATATTTAAAACTATTAGTGTAGACATGAGCTATATAGGAAACCATAATATTATTGCATGTTTTAGTACTATTTTGTTGTGGCAACATATCTGACATAAATATATCATTTTCTTGAATTATAATTCATTATCTTTAAAAACTTGAATCATTTATATTGAGATACTAATTTTTTCCACAAAGATTAGCCTTCTTATTACCTATATTAGTAAACATAAGGAAACTAAAATTTAAGTCAAGCTATTGTTTTAGATTTTTATAGGACTTAAAATCAATTTGAAAGCATTGATTTATAGTTTGTGTTTGGTATTTTTGTTATAAGAGACCATTATAACTTAAGGTTATTCAAAGGAGATATTTATTAAGTTACAGAAAACTTTAAGGTCAATATTACAAAATATTATTAATTGTAACTTCTAGAAAAAAGTTTAAAATAAACCAATATTAAAATAATATATAATAAAGTACTAAATCATAAATATTTTATAAATATAACACATATATCTATAACTAGGAACTATTAAATGTGAGTCATTTTGTATTTTTATTTCATTAATAAGAACTTAATAGTGAATAAAACTAGTAGATAATGTAATGTTCTTTTCAGTAGGGACCATTTCTAACTAAATTTCCTGTCTTAATTTCACTCTATATTTTGCTGTGACTCTTCCCCATATATAACTTAATTTCAAAGTTTTTTGTTGTTGCTGTTCTTTTATTTGTATATTATCTCCCTAATGGTTTAACTTCAGGACATTAAATATAAAACACAGTTCAGTTACATTTTCATTCTAGGTAGTTAAATTGGGTCATAGACTCTCTTCTACATTCCAAATCTAATTATTTAAAGAGATTTTTGTTTGGTGGTTTAGTGAAAATTTCTAGAAGCTCTTTAAGCTCAAGCCACAATAAAAGCCTACTACCTACTTTAAATATTTTAAACTTCTATATTGCAATTTTGTGTTTGAATTTATCTTCGTCTCCTCTTCAAAAAGTGTTTTAGCATTTTTTTTTTTTAGATTTTCCTATGAAATGTGGGTAAGAATATCTTAGAAAATTTGCAGGAAACATGGACATAATTGCTACCACTTAAAGTTATTATATGACCAGTTTATTTGTTACTTGAACTGATGTTTGAACAAAAATATATACAGAAAAATAAGAATTAAGAAAGTAAGTAAAATATAAAAATTCAGTTAGAAATTGCTCCTCAGTTTTTTTTGTTCACTTTTTATTTTGTAAGCTACTTCAAAATCCAGTATTGTCTTTGTGGTTGGTTCTTCAGTAAATGAAATACTGACATTTGTGTGGAGAAAATGAAGACATGCTTAGCTATGCTTGGAGTTCATTTAGGTACTAATGATACTGATATTCTTATTCATATATTGCAATCCTTTTTTTTTTTTTTTTTGCAGTTTTACTAAAGGGAGGAAAAAGAGAGGAAGAGAAACCATTTAGAGACTGTGCAGATGTATATCAAGCTGGTTTTAATAAAAGTGGAATCTACACTATTTATATTAATAATATGCCAGAACCCAAAAAGGTAAAACCAGAAGTGTTTGTTTACGAGATGTAAACCAGATCCTAGTTCAATTGCTGGATAATCAGATTGATTTGTGAGCTTGGTAAACTTGAAATATGTATATATGCCTGAGCTCTTTTCTCCCTGAGGTACTCTGTTTAACAGATCTGCAAAAGATGAAAATCCTATTGTATATACATCCCCTAGTCCCCATACCTTTTCTTTCACACAAATATTTCCATTTATTCTCTGCTATTCCTAGGATGTCCTGTTACACATAAGTGTTTGCCTGGTACAAATTATGTGTGGAGGCCACATCTACCTGGAGTGTATAGGGAAGAGTTAGGATCATCTTCCAAAGTTCATAGAACCCCCAGGACACACATCATCCACAGTCCAAATACTGCGGAGAGGGAACAGGGGCACATAGCTAATTGCAGATTTACTGCTCCTGCTAGGATGAGAGAAACACTTCCTATCTTAATTCATAATCTCGAAAAGATTTACTTTTCATATTTACATAAAAGAGTGAATTGAAGAATCAGATTCATCAGTATATTGGACAGGACCCAAAGTTATCTTTGATGTGAGCAAGCACTGTCTTCCTGCCATAGCATCTCCTTTATATACTTCCTTATTAAATCATTCATTCATCCATGCTTTCATTCAGTACAATTAAATGGATGCATGCATTTGTCAGTCTCTGGCCAGGGACATAAGTATGGGTCAAACAGTTCCCAGTGTAATGGTGAAGACAGACAATTGCACATATAGTTATAAAATTCTGTAGAAGTGAAGCAATAAAGACAATTTATCTGAAGCAGAGTATATAGGGGTGCTTTGAGGCAAGACTGCCCAAGAGCGTAAAAGGAGAGGCCAGAGCCCTGCTCTTCAGTATGAGTAAGCTTTAGCTACGTGACTGAGGTCCCAAAGGACCTCATGTCCTTGCAGGATAGAACCGCTTTCCTCTACTCATTGCCCCACCTAAATTACCTATCTTATGCCCTCATTTCCCCTGGATCTTGTTCAAATATTTTTGGAAGGTTTCTTCTGATTCTCTCAGGCAACTTTGCCTGATTTCTCACTACCAGAGTTCTAAAAGGCAGGGACTTTACTTTTCATCTTTGATGTCCTGGGACCTAGCATAGTTTCTGGCACATAGTAGGTCCTCAACAACTATATGCTGGGATGAATAAATAACCTGCTAATAATAATGTCAGCACTTCTTTGTAGCATGTAGTAAATCTAACTTATTTAGTCTTTCTGATAGCTTTAATAGGTAAATAAATTAATCTTGCAGACCAACTTGCTAGATGTCACATAATTGTCAAGATAGGGAGTCTGGATTCTAGTTCAACTCTGATCTTATTTACTTCCTTTTCTACCACTGTCCTGTCTCTTGTGATTTCAGTAAGAACTAGTGCTTTTAGTTGTTCATATTTTTTTTCACTTTTCTGAGACAAAATACTTTTTCCTCAAAAGAGGTCTTCAGTATCATCCACAAGATGGGAAAGGCTACTGGCGGAGTGAGCAGAGGTGGGAGAAAAGGTGGCAAGAGCAGTTCTATATGTTGAAACCTCATCATATACATTCAGGGAAGTTGATACCTCAGAGAAGTAGGGTTTTGCCTGTTTTTCATATGGGCTTCTGTGCATTATGGGTTTTCATTGTGAGCCCTGTGAATAAACTGCTCTGTGAGTTATAAAAGCAAACAAACATACAAAAAGCTCTGGAGACACAATGGCAAATCTGAGGTGAGGCATCAAGGTGAAAATTGTAAAGAGAATATCTGACTTTTGGATGTCCAAAAACTATATATAAACTTAAATTCAGTTCACACACACACACACACACACACACACACACACACACACACAATACACATGGTATATAAAATGTGAGGCGTGTCTTGGTGGAGGGGATGAAGCTAAAATATATACTCTGTCATTTTACCTACTTTACTGCCTAAGACCTGAAACAACTTCTAAATTATTGTCAGTTCCACTATAGCTTATAGCTTGACTATAAAACAAAGTAACTAAAACTAATTATTGATCTTCCGTTTAGTCTCCTAATGATTCTGTGATATGAGTATAAAAATTTTTTAAATTCTGAATTTTTCAAATTTAAAATACTTACATTTTTAGAATGTTTTCACTTCATCCCCCGTGAAAAACATGCAGCCTTTGAAGAAGGGGGCAGTACAAATAAAGTTTTGATCATTCCATTAACTTGAATTCATTTATAACCACAGTCAACCACACTCATTTATAACCACACTTCAACATCAGTTGAAGATGTTTGGAAATACAGATGTTGCACAGGCTATCTGCAAAATCACTGCTCTTGTTAAGGTGGAGAAAAATAATCCATCTCAATTCATAATCTTGAATAGATTTGCTTTTCACATTTATATAACACAGAGTTTTGAAGGATCCAAGTTACTCATTCTGTGACTGCCTCTTGGTTTGGTTTCATCAGGAGAGCAAGATTGAAACTTACACGTCCATAAAATGGTGGATTTTGCATATTATGGAGGTTTAGGGTTGTTCTTGAATAAATAAAATCTAAAATGTTAAATTCACAAATGTCAAATAATCTGCTGGGTTAAACTTCTGAAATTTGCATGTCAGAAGAAATTATAGCCTGAGCAGATTAGAAGTGGTATCAGTACATACCTGTAAGAAACAAATTTTATCACTGTAGAAATGCCCCTGATGGCTTTTCAGAGAGAAGGTGACACATCATCTGGTCAGGACTGTCATTAGATGTACTTTAATTCGAATAGTAGCAGAGTGTGGAAAAAAGGGGAAGGCTTCTTGGGCCTTCTTCTGGACATAGGTTTTACGGTATTGTTTCATTCTATGATCACAGATTCTCTTACAAGTATTAATACTGTTCTATAATGGAAACAAACACTCCAGACCGTCTTATATAAACTGTTTTGTTGACAACAAATTTTTAAACATTCCTTATTATAATCACATAGACAGGATTTGTTAGAACAAATATCATATGAATTTCTTCAAAGTAATTTAGAAGCTGATGAATACACTAGTTCAAATGTGTTGAGCACTTACAGTTTGCCAGGTCCTCTACTAAGCACTTTATGCATAATATACTCATTTGCTTACTTTTTCAACAACCCTGTGAGAGAGGTGCTCATATTATCTCTATGTTAGATAACTAACTTGTTCATACGAAATTGTTAGTAAATACTGAACACTGACTTTAAAATAAAAGACTAGACTGTCCCCTGTTAACCAGAGTGATAGGCATGGTCATAATTTATATTAGTGATGATTGAAGTGGCACCATTCATAATTTTTGAATATAAGCCTATTACCTGGTGGGACAGTAAACATGTGTGTGACATGTGAGTAACACAGGCAAGGGTATATTATTACAAAATTAGGTAAATTGATTCATGTTCTCATTATAACTCACCATACTTCCACCTTCCTATAATTTTAGGTTTCTAATATGTCAGTCCTATAAAAAGTGCTGAAAAATTCCTCTTTAGGACTTTCACCCTTCTAAGTACACTGGTGCATTGTGGTTAGAAAGTTTAGTGCTACTTTTGGATATGCTTAGTAAAAGCTTTGTTCATTGTAATGTTTCCAGAAGTTCTGGCCAGGACAAAAACTCAAGGCAAACTATATAAAAACAAAACAAAACAAAATAGCCAGCTATGTATGGTAGGAACCAATCAACAAGATAGGGTTATTTAATACACGTTAAGGAGACTATTAACAGAGATTATTCATTTTTCAGTCAGAGTGAAAGTTGCAAGTATAAGAGAATTGTTATATGGTAATTGTTGCCTGACATTGCTGCGTGCCAAAAAGAAAAGTCTACAAAAAGTTAGAGAAGTGTTATCTATTCAAATGTGAAAGCCAAAGGTGATTTTCTTAGAGTGTTTAATTTTTCAAGCAGATAGAAAATTAGAATCAGGTCATCTATATACTTCTTTTTTTGCTTTTTTATTACTAGGGGCTTGTGGTTGTTTTCTTCTCTGAATTCCATTTAATGCATAGCGGTTAAGAGACAAGGTTTTTTCCTTTCATTTCATAAATTTCCAAAATCAAATGTCCTGTAGCCAGTTTAGTTTCATTCAAAAACAAGTCATTAAATCATAACTCTGCTTATTGTAAAATATAAAAAAAATTTGTTTATGAATTCATAATACCTCTAATTCTTGGAAAAGGACTATAACAAATAGGTTGAGCCTTTTTCATTTAAGGTTATGGAAAAATAATTAACATTCACAAGTCTAATCATTTCGACTTGCATGAAGCATAAAAGCATAAAAACTATGTGAATCGAATTTCTCCTTTTTGTTTGGGTTTAAGCCTCTGTGTTATGTTAAAAGGTGTTTAATGCTTGAAAGCTTTGACCTTGCCTGGGATAGGAGCCAGTTCAATCTTTTCTTGGATACAGTTAAGCCCAAGTCATATGATCGATAAATGCAAGATGCATAGTATATGTGGTGGGTCCCTATTCATGGGAGGAACACCTCCAGATAGGACAGACCACACAATATTGACAAATAAACTTTTCAAGACTTTTATGTCTCAAACCTTTCTGAAACCTAGTGAGAGAGAGGGAGAGAGAGAGAGAGAGAGAGAGGTTCAAAGAATAGTAATGTCAATATCATTAGCAAGAAGTTGGAAATCATAATCATAAGGATAATTGATTGAACATCTTTCTGCTTTGATTTCATATTATTCAAAATAACAAAAATGTTATGGGATGCCATATAATAAGTATAATATATTAAACTATTATTATATTAATATATTTTTGTTATCTGTTATATATTCATTTTATTTTATGTGATTTTAAAACTAAGTGCATAGAATTTTAATAACAGATAACAGATATAGTATAATATAATACCAATATTTCATTAATAATATATGAAATATTATAATATATACAGACAGTATATAATGCATAATATAAACACACATTATCTCATCAATAAAACATATCTAAGAGATCACATTAATGACATTGGCTCCCTACTAGGGGCCAAGCACTATTCAAAACACTCTATAAAAATAGTCTCTTTATTGTGTGTTTTGTTTTTTGACTCAGAGTCTCACTCTGTCACCTAGGCTGGAGTGTAGTGGCAGGATCATGGCTCAACACAGCCTTAACCTCCTGGGCTCAGGTCATCCTTCCACATCAGCATTTCAAGTAGCTGGAACTACAGATGCATGCCACCACACCTAGATAATTTGCTTGATTTTTTTGTACAGATAAGGACTCCCTCTGTGGCCCAGACTGGTTTGAAATGATCTCCTGGGTGCAAGCAACCCATCCACCTTGGCCTCCAAAGTATTAGGATTACAGATGGGAGCCACCACACCCAGCCCACTGGCTCATTTAATTCTTCTTTTTTTTCTTTTTTCTTTTTTTTGAGTCGGAGTCTCACTCTGGACTGGAGTGCTGTGGCCACTCCCAGCCACCACAGCCTCAACCTGCTGGTCTCCGGCGATCCTTCCACCTCAGCCTTCCGAGTAGCTGGAACTACAAGCTTGTGCTACCATGCCCAGCTAATTTTTTATTTATTGTAGAGATGAGGTGTCGCCAAGTTACCCAGGCGGATCTCGAACCTGCGGGCTCAGGCAATCCACTCACCAAGGCGCGGGATTACAAGTTGAGCCAGGGAGCCCAGCCGGCTCATTTAATTCTTACAAACTCTAAGAGGTAGATACAGCAGAAAGGGATTTGAATCCAGGCAATGTAGCACTCAAGTCCAAGCCCCTAAGAAGGTACCATTCAGCTCCAGTGTGCACAAATTCCACAAATGTCAGCTGATGTTCTTGTTGCAATGAGTCCTAATCAGAATAAGGGCAGATATGTCCAACCCTTTAACCCCTCTGCACCTCAGCTTCCACTCCAGTGATCTGCCTGGGTAATTTCTATTTCCCCATGGAATTCTGACTTTTTTCTCTAGGTCTTTAACTAAGAAACACTCTCAGCACATCTTAACATTTATGAGTGACTGGATGCCTCTATTTAAAAGGAAAATTGTCTTTTAAAAAATTTGCAAGTGATTTAAAAACTAAGTTCATAGAATTTTAATAACAAAGTTAACAGTAATGAAAACTGTACAGTATAATTTCCTCTACTCACTCACAATTTATAAATGTAGTGATTCCTTTCCCTGAGCATGTAAGGGAACTTTATAGCTCTACAAACACAGTTTGGTAAATTTTCAAGCAATCGGTATCCATCAGGAAATAAAAATCTAGGAAAGCATTTTGTATTAACCAGTCAGACCAGAGTAAAATTTAATTGAGAAACTAATGACATGAGCTTTTCCTACCAAAATGTTTCCTTTGATATTTTCACTTCCTTTGACTTTGATTTAAATTTTCCCAGTAGAGCTCTACTTTGACCACTTCCCTTGAATCATCTCTGCCCTTCTTAAACTGTGCCATCTGACTTCATCTCACAAGAATCCTGTATTATCTCACACCAAGGTCACTAATTGCTTTTCATTCATATGCTAGTGTTTTGTTAATCATTATTTATCTTGACTTCTCTGAAACAATTAAGTTGATCACTTCCCCAACTCAAAATTCATACCCAGTGTCCCTTGCTTTCCATGACCAAGTTTTCCTACTTTATCTTTCCTCATTTCATCTTTACTTATTCAGCAAAAGTTCATTTGGTGCCTACTGTAGACTAGGCACTGCTCTACACACTGGGGACAGTGGTAAATCAAAAGAAATTCCTGCCTACCTAAATATTACTGATGCATGTTATCTTCTCTATTGGTTGTTTACCTAATATCAAAGCCCATTATTGGACCCTTCTTCCTCCCCCAGAACACATCTCTTGCTTCTTTTTTTTTTTACTTATTTACATAATGTATTTTTCTTCATGCCATCAAGTTACTTCTTACAAGAACATTACTACCAGTAATTCTGAATTAGAGAGAAATAGGGTTTAAATCTCAAATCCAGTACAAATTCTAGATCCAATACTTATTGTTGAGTATAACTATTGGTGACTGACTGAACTACTTTAAGCTTGTCTTTCTTTTCTGTAAAATGGAAATAATAATAATATCTACTTCTTATATAGTGTAGTTGAGAGATTAAGTTAGAAATACTTGTAAAGTGTTTAAATTATCTGGCACTCCAAGGATGTCATTGTTAATGGTTATTGCTTTCTTATTCCTTTATTCTCTTAGACATTATTTTATCTTTGTATCCAACTACTTGTAGTTGATCATCTCTAACTGCTCAATAAACTCTTTTTTTGGATATCTATGCTATCTCAGATTCTAGAGTCCCAAACTATGATTAGTTTCTTCTCTCTCATTTATATCACAGACTTTGTCATTCTTCAGGTCATGGAGTTGAAATTTGTGAACTTTGCCTCCTTAGTCTTTTGGGAGCAGTCGCTGTTGAATCTTTGAGGGGTTTTGAGTACATGACCCATCTTATTTATTTTTTATATTATCTCTAGTTGCAATACTAAATTGATGCCTAAGAATGCTTGTTGAGTAAAAAAATAAGTGAATTAGAATTAAGGAAGATGAAAGACTAGCAAGAGCTTACGGTGAGGACAAAAAGCAGGTGCAGAAAGGCTAAAGGATTAGTAGAGGGGGAACACTGGGATAGGGTGGGACATTTCAAATGTGCATTCTTGGAGATGAGTCACTTCCCAAACATAGTGGGTGACTGTTGTCAAATTGCAAGGACATTCCAGGAGAGAGCTGCTGCCCTATTTCAGATACCCACAAATAGGTATGTTTATATTAGTTCTCACTCTGAGGAAGAACATGGACCATTTGTCCTTTGAATGTTTGCTTTTATACCCTTTAGTCATTTGTGCTCCAAATGCAAAACACTTGAGGTTTTTCCCTTAATCATAGCTTGGCTCCGCCCACACAGCCTGCCTGCTGCTGTTGCATCTTATCCACACCTTTAGTCAGCCTTCAACATGCTGTAGTGTTTGGTTGCTGAGCAAATGGTGTCCCCATGGTCCGGCCCTTGAATAGCCAAGCTGCCATGTTCATGCTACATCAATTACAGTGAGTGCTCTCCACAGATAATTTCATTACAGATATGTTTCTTTTCTTGAGTGGACTCTGGGGGAAATGAGTCAATTCTAAATAAATACTATTGTATCTGGAATAATTAAAAGAAGCATAAGTCTTTGAAAGACTTGGATAACTTTTCTACATGGGAAAGAAATGCTTGTTACAGTCAGAAGGGTTACAGTATATCATGTTCTTCTGTTAGTGTTCATGACTAAAATGCAAGCAAAACATATGCTCTGCATACGCTGAGCAACAAATTCTGCCTTCAATATAATACTGAATCTTCAAGAATAACTGTAGTATGTAAATATATGAGTTAATGTGCAATGAAATATGCAATAGTTAAATACATATGATAATTTCACAATTATTTTAGAAAACTTACTCTTATTATATTTCCATTTCAATCAATTAAAAAATTAAAACTTTTGAGTCTTGTGTTTGACAGTCAAATGGTCTGTACTTTTGAAATTTGGTCTCATTTAAATAAATTTAGATGTACTTAAGTCCTTATTTACATTTAAGACAATTTTTTAAAATGGTTTTTAGTCTGAGACTTAATTTTTAGCTGGTTAAAAGTTTTGCAAGTAATTCATGCACCACTGATGCAATTAATCAGATATAACTCAGATATGAATAATGGAAAGAAATAACATAATATGTCCATATTAACATTTTTCAATATAGCAGTTTTTAATTTTATCTATAAGCCTGTCCATTCTATTTCTATTCTGAAACATATAAAAACATATAAAAAGATGTAATTTTTTCCTTGACTTTTTTTCCCCTTTGTCAGGTATTTTGCAATATGGATATAAATGGGGGAGGTTGGACCGTAATACAGCATCGTGAAGATGGGAGTCTGGATTTCCAAAGAGGCTGGAAGGAATATAAAATGGTAAGATGGAAAAGTTTACACTGTTTTTTAATGTTTTATCATGAGGTTATCTTCACCATACTGTATGATACATTTTTAGGCGTTTGTGAGTTATTATTAAAATAAAATGATACATTAGGGGTATTATTTTCATTAGACACAAAACATTCATAAATCATTTTCAGCAAATGATTTCCATGTGTGCATCAGAAAGAAAAATGTATTACTGAAATTATTTGGTGGACTGCTTTGTGTTGTCTGAATTTGTTTTTAGTTGAATGAGGGTGTGTGGAGTTAGAACCTAGACTAGGCCTAGATACATGAACCAGGACAGGGGAGTTGTGCTGTGCTGCAGGCTATGGAACAGGGAGGTCATAGCAATGGCCTGACTGGCAAGATGTTGCTGGCTGTTGACTGAGAGCTCCTTCGTGTGACTTTTTCATGTGGCTAGGCTAGGTTTCTTCCAGTACAGAGATCTAGCGCTGTCAGACTTCTTTTGTAACAGTTGGCATACCCAAAGCACAAGAGTAGAAGCTTTCAGACCTTTTCAAGTTTTATTAGATCCAGAAATGGCACAGTGTTACTTCTACTGCATTCTATTGGTTATGGTGGGCTGCAGGGGTCCAGATTCCAGGCAAGAGGAGGACACAAAGATATGTTCATTAGGGTCTGCAAAGTAACAACAGACATCATCATCATGATCATCATAGCTAACCTTTTCAATGCTTTATATGTGCCAGCACTATATATAAATTCTTAACAAATTTTTATATCAGCCCTATTAGCTAATACTATCCCCATTTTAAAAGAAAATAAAGAAGAGCGAGATCAGCTTCTCCAATATTATATTGTGGATGACTGAAATAATTCAAAGACCAATAATCACACAGTCAGCGTCTACAATATCAACTGTTAAAACCTGCTGACAGAATGTCAAGGCACACAAAGGAAAAGGGCCTTTATTTATGTATTCTCATTCTTTTACATCTAAATCTTCTAGATAATTCTTGTGTTAGCTTTTCTGCAAATTTCCTCTCAGAAGATAAAGAAAAGGGCAATAGAAATGCTGTATTGGCCTAAGTTCTGTCTTGATATTATTGTAGAAAATGTGTAAAAACAGTTGTTGGTTGGCAACAGAGTTTACTTTTTAACAGGCTTTTAATTAGTAAAGCAGCAGTAAATAAAGAGTTAAAATAAATGACTGGAAGTCCGTAGTGGTGTCACTGTGTCTACAACAATTTTATTAGATACTCAGTTGAATCATTTGAAAGCACGTTTTAAAAAGTTTGAACTGACGCAAAGTTGGAATCTTGATATCTTAAACCACAAACTCAATATGGAATGGTAGGCTGAAACCAGCAAGATATAATTCCACAAAAGTAATTGTAAAAATTTTCACCTAGATAAAAAATACATGTTAACTGTAAAAATACATGATGAAGGTGACAAATTGGCTCAAGAACCTAGTATTTAAAAGATAGTGTTTTGTTTTGTTTTGTTTTTTTGGCTGTAAGCTTATTTTGTGTTGTTGGCTACTTAAAATCAAAAATTAATGTGCTCAGTTTACACTAATAGTTTTTTGGTCACAGAAAATGCAGAACTTACTATTGTCTGTTATGACCTGGCCAATAACATCAAAAACCACTTTCCATTCTGGAGGTTTTCAAACATGTGGACTTATCCTAGAATGAACTTATCCATGTAGGATGGGAGGAATTTGGAAATTATGCCTGGAACAGGTGAATACCTGGAGAAAAAAAAATTAAGTATAAACATGATAGCTATTTTAATTAATCGATAAAGTTATGTGGTATTGATAATCAAAATGTGGTCTAGGGACCAGCAGTATTAGGACCACACATCTCAAACTCCATCCCAGATTTACTGAATTAGAATGTGCATTTTAACACTGCTTTAGTGGGAGGTTCAATAGAGGCAAAAGTTTATTAAGTATGAAAAAAAAGCTCTCTACTGTTTAATTATATTGTGAAATGCACCTCCTGTTAAGTAACAAGACCTCCCCATCATCAGTAGAAACAACCATAGGAGGTAAATCATCATCTTTCTGGATTGTTATAGAGAATTGGAATGTTAGCTTAGGTTCCAAGGTTTATTTCTGCCTATGTGATTCCGAAAACATATGGGGGATAAAAGATTATCTAAGTTCTAAAAGAAGAACTTGGATTATGTTTACATTAACAGTTTGAGTCCCTATGCTGACATTTACAAGACTAGTGATTTTTGGCAAATCACTTAACCCACACCTCAGGTTTCTTACTTATTAAAATAGGATAATGATAATACCTCACCTGCCTTGCAGCGATGTTGTAAGGATTACAAATAATATAAATAAAGCACTTTGGCTCATTGAATTTTCAATGAATAGTAGTTATTATTATCCAAGATTAAACATCAAGTGCAAACATTTTACTTAACTATTTCAAAAATATTATTTTATACATCACTTTAATTCATTATTATTTTTACTACTTACTGGAATGTGAAGAAGTCATCTGAGATTCATGCTATAGATATAGATTCAGGCTAATATGAAATACATTATTATTAAAATTAATGAAAATAGAAAAATAAATATAAAGTTGTCATCATGGTAATGTTCCAAAATGGTGAATTATTAGCTGTAAGCATCTGTGGCCTTGGCAAGCTAGGCACATTAAGTAAGAGATACTGACTGGTTAAGTATGGAATTCATTCATGTATTGTGAGTATTTACCAAATGTATCCATTTCTAAGCAACTCTTTTTTGTTATTGGAACAAGACTGAAATTATTCTTTAATAATAATTTTATAAAGTTTACACCTCCTCACTTTTAAACAAAAAAAAATACTTTTATTTTTTATTCAAACTTGAAAAATGTATCAACTGAGTGTCCATCTTGCATGGTCAAAAATGAGATAAGCACCAAAAATGAGATAAGCTCCAAAAGTCTGAAATATTCTGGCAAAAGTGAGACTGAAAGCTTTTTTTAAAAAATTGAAAATATTTATCAAATCGGGCTCGGTGGCTCAGCCTGTAATCCCGCGCCTTGGGAGGCTGAGGTGAGTGGATTGCCTGAGCCTGCGGGTTTGAGACCTGCCTGGGCGACTTGGCAAGACCTCATATCTCTACAATAAATCAAAAATTAGCCGGGTGTGGTAGCGCGCGCCTATAGTTCCAGCTACTTGGAAGGCTGAGGCGGAAGAATCGCCAGAGCCCAGCAGGTCGAGGCTGCGGTGGCCGGGAGCGGCCACTGCACTCCAGTCTGGGCGACAGAGTGAGACTCCAACTCAAAAAAATTTTAAAAAAAAGAAAATATTTATCATATATTACAACTTGGTTAGCATTCACCAAAACACATGGTAGGAAGCATTTCAGTTGTTTCCTCTAGAGCTTTTCTTTCACCTAAAGACAGAATAACATGACTCCACTAGGGATGGAAATAGACTCGTTATGCCAATTCTTATCAATCACACCCACTTCTATTTCCTGCGAAGAACTGGCTGCTCATTTCTTCAGCTTAGGGTATACATCTTTCAGGGAAATAAGAACTTAGCAAGCTTCCTTAGTCTTCACTCTTCCTTAGTCTTTACCAATCTACTATTATATACACTAGGATGCTAAACTTCTTCCTTGGACATTGAGTGCCAAAATAAAGTTTTCTCTCTCTTTCCTTTCTTCCTTTCCTCTCTCCTTTCCTTTACACTGGCTGATATCTGTGGACTTCCTCTTGGTTCATAAGGTTTCCTGAACATGTTAAAGTTATTAATGCATGAAATTACAAATATATTTTAAGCATTATAATGATTATTTCTAAACCTTCTTTAAAATGAAAGGGTTGCAGTTTATTTGATTCTTAACATTGGCTTGGCTTTAAGCCTACAAAAGCCTTTTACCTAAAGCTTTGTTTCCACTTAACCTTCCTTATGAGGAGATTCAGCAAAATCTGGTTTATGGATTCGTAAAGATGTTTGCCACAGAGGAAGGTCTGGAGTGGAATTTTTAATGAGGCACTTAAGAGACTATATTAACTCCTTCAAGCCATAAGGATACCATTGAGTGGCCTCCGGCAATAACACTTACCAGCAGTACTTTTGCATATAAAGCCCAGTGGAGCTAAGAGTTCCAAATAGTACCTTAAGTGGCCTAACTTTACACTGTAGTAGGCAATGACTAATGCCCTGGAGACAAACTCTTTGTTTTAAAAACAATTATTCTCATAAACAGAGCGTCTTATTGACAAAAATTTCAGTCTGAGCACCGTGCCTTCTGGAAATTCTTTGTTTCTGTAAAGAAATTAAGAGCACGGTTTCAACTGTATTTTGATATATTGATGCAAAAAGAGAAAAAATACATAAGAAATTAAAAATTTTGAAATAAAAACCATTTCCTACTTTCTTGGTCTGAGAGTCACAGCAGTTAGAGGAGACACATGATTTAAATACATATTAAAATCTCTTTGAAAAACCACAGCTCAGTCTTACCTGTTTTCCTTAATAGTTTGTACAAAAAATGATGAAACCCATAGAATATGGACTGTGTCTGTTTTCAATTTTACTTCATCTATAAAATATCAACACTTCCTGTGTTATCAGACAAAACAAATAAAGTATCAGGAACAATTAATTTATTAACTTGGAAAAAGTACAAACTGAAATTGAACATTTCTACAGGTTTCAGCAAAAAACTAATGAAAATTAATCTTTCTTCTGCATGCATTTTTTAATAAGATGTGCTTTTCAAAGGCCAATTCTAAGTCTGTTAGTTTTGATTAAAGTTCAGTGTATTTCTATCATTTTGTTAGAGAACTACAAAAGAAATAAAAATTGATTAACAATGTAATTCAACAGAGTCAAAATCTTACATGTGATCATAATTGATATCATTATGATATCTCATATTGCCTCCCATAGTTTTTATGAAAGTATATGACATAGTACTTTTGGTTTTATTCTTGAAAAAGAAAAATATTTGTATTACTATTATTTATTCATTTGTTGCTACTTTTTCAATATCAGCACATCATTTTATATTAACTTTTATTTTTATTTTTATGGGTGTTATGGGCTATTTGGTGCAAAATATAGACCTATGGTAAACTGTTATGTGCAATAATGTATAAACCTATTTTGGAGGATATGCACTGGATTTCTTTGTATTTTAGGCATAAATATTAATTATTTTCAAGGGCCATCCCATACACATAATCAAAACTTGCCTCCCAATGTGAAACTCAGTATGAAGATACAATTAATGTGTTTTTCCCTGTGTACCATTCAGAACATTTGGTTTGATTAACATACTCTTTTTAATTTGTACTTGGAACAACTATTCCACAACATATTTGTGTGGTTCTCCACCTTTGGTTCATAGACAATTTACCTGTAGAACCTTGTAAATGTACAACTCTCTAAGCCCACCCCCAGACATTTGGAATAAGAGTCTTCACAGGGGAAGTAAATCACCTATATTTTTAAAAAATCTCAATTGCCTTTACTGATAAGCACTCCTGGTTGAAAGCACTGTCACAACTATTAACTCATTGACATTGTATAAGACCTTAAAAATTACCTCTTTTGTAGATCCTAGAACTTGTCAGATGTGGCGAGAAAGGCATTAAAAGAAATAGGGTCAAGGGCGAATGGAAGGAGACAGGTACTCCTTAGCATAAGTTAACAGGTAAAAATGAGAAAGTTTCTGCTTTTATTTGTGCCGTAGTTTAGTACCAATTGCAACCAGTTGGATTTAATTTCTTTTTTAAATTTTAAAGAAGTGCGGTACAATTCAGAATTAGGTATACAAGTGGTCATCGTACGGGTAAAGTTTGAGCCTCCCTTCTGTCCCCACTTCACCTGGTTTGAGAGAGGTACCTTTATTGATGTTATGTGCTCTCCCCTCCCCTGGCAGTGACCTGCTACTGTGAATCCCTTTATTATAGTATTATGGTAAATGTTCAGGGTCCACTTATAAGTGAAAGCATGTGATACTCAGTTCTTTGTTCATGTGATAGATCACTGAGTATTATAGACTTTTAATTTCTTATTTAATAATTAACTTACTTGGATTAAAATGACAACACTCATCTGCAGAAACAAACACTCAACTTATTATCATAATACATTAGTGTCCGTCATCCGAAAGCCTTTTATTTATTATTTATTTATTTATTTATTATTTATTTTGAGTTGGAGTTTCACTCTGTCGCCCAGACTGGAGTGTGGTGGCCGCTCCCGGCCACCGCAGCCTCGACCCACTGGGCTCTGGCGATCCTTCCACCTCAGCCTTCCGATTAACCGGAATTATAGTCGCACGCTACCACTCCTGGCTGATTTTTGATTTATTGTAGAGATGAGGTCTCGCTGCCCAGGTGGGTCTCGAACCCACGGGCTCAGGCAATCCACTCACCTCAGCCTCCCAAAGGCGCGGGATTACAGGCTGAGCCACCGAGCCCAGCTCTGAGAGCCTTTTAAATAATGATTTCACTATCTCTTTATTCATATTTAGGCTAAGACAAGACTGCATTTTTTTGTTCCCTTTTTCACACAGAGTGGAAAAAAACCTACTTATCTGCAAACAGCTCACAGTCTCTTGGAAGAGAGGCAACTAAACAGAAAATGTATACCTTACTATGTATGCATCTTGTGATGTATATTTTAACTCTAGCAACTAGATTTTTAAGTGCTTTATATGTGTCAACACTCAGTTAAGTGCTTTAGGTATATTATCTCATTTCATTCTCACATTATATATGAAAACAATGTTTTTAATCACTATTTTGTAGACAAGGAAACTGAGGCACAGAAGTAAATGGTTCCACAACAAATATGTAGCAGATTAAGACTTCCATCTGGAGTGGAGATAAGAGGTAGAAGTTGCTTAATCCAAACCAAGCCTTTGTTCCTGATCCATGGTTATGCCTGATAAACTACCCAATAGACAGTTTACAAATGTGGGAACCCAATTCCCTTATTTCATGTATTTTTCATCTTTATGATGAAACAGTTGTTTCTGCATTGCTGCTTTTGGCTATTAGAAGGTTTCCTCCCTACACTCTCTCTTTAACAGCCATTTTAATTCATTGTAGTCAAACATTTTGCTCCCACAATAGGGCATCTTTGGACAGTTTTTCTGGAAAGGTACTTGAAATATAATTTTGGTTTCTAAAGGCAAATTTTACTGCTATCTTTTTAGTTGCTTCTTCCTGGAAGAAGAAAAAGCAAAAAAGTTTAGGAAGGGATATTTATCTCCACTTAGGGAGACATACAGCCTTACATGTTGAGACAGAGGTGGAGGCCCTTGTAGGAATGGCATTAACGCTGCCCATTTCTAAGTCTTCCCCGAGATCACTGTTCTTTTCCCTGGGCAAGCTAGGAAGTTTTAGCCACACAGCGCTTTCAACAGCATGGAAATATGTGACCCAAAACTTAACACTTCATCATTCCCAGCTTCCTTATTCACATTTACAATAATTGTTGAATCCCTTTTCAATGACTACACAGAAAAGGGAATTCTCAAGTGGTTAGAGGGAGAGTTTTAACATGTCTGAGCTGAAAAGAAACGTAAGGAAAAATCCCCATGATCTTCTTCTTCCCAGGGACTGCTGCAATTGAGGGTGTTTATTCTTTGACTTTCAGCTCCCTATAACTTTGTTTTTTGCTCATGCTTGGAGAACGTAAGCATTGTTCTTCTCGTTGGTATGTTGCAACAGCTGCCATAAGAATGTGCGAGACTCTTAGCACATCTAAGATTGCTTTAATATTTCCTGCCAGAGTGGAACTTTTATAAAGTGTGACTTGAACATCTTAGGAACAGAGAAGCCAGAGTCAATGGTGCACTAACTCAGTGGGTTCTATAGCTTTGCTCTGAGCTATGAGTAATGTTCTTCAGAAGAGCATATGCCCAGTGCAATCTGTTCTGTTAATCCAAAAACTAAATTAAACCGGGAAATAATTTTAAAATTGTGCATACTTATATTAATACATTTCACTTTAGCTTTAAATATGAAGATATACATTCATGTATCCTTTTTTAAAATATGTCGTGCCAAACCCTAGAATTCTGGATCAGTGGTTCTTTCATAAAACTTTTTTGTAATAAAAACATATCTAATCTCTAGTTTTAGTTTTTTTAAAATAGAAGAGTACATAAAGACACATGAAAAGCAACCTGACTTTAAAATTCTTTAAAATTTTTATTATTTATCCCAGTCTTTTTGAGTTTTAGCAATGCACAATTAATTTTTTTTTCTTTTAGTGATTTGCTTTTGTTGAGCAAACCTAAATACCAAGTTAGGTTTTAAAAAATAAAATATCTGAACTGTCATAAATGGGTTTGGTAAGCAACTCATTTGGCAAAGGCAGTAGTGCACAAGTGATTATGTTTCAGTCGGGCACTTTAAGAAACACTTCCCTGAGACTCAGTCAATTTGTCTAAAGCAACGATTGTGTTTTAAGTTTACTTCTCCAAATGTTACTGCCAAGTACCATAATATTTTGTTTCACTTCCTCCCTCCCTCCCTCTCTCCTTCGCTTCCTTCCTTCCTTCCTTCTTTCCTTTCTTCCCTTTTCTTTGAACTTTAATGAATACTTTAAGAATGCCCAGCATATGTCTGGTCTCCACTGGTTTTTGAGGATTCACAAATACAACATAGCTCTATTACCAGGGAGTTCACTATATGGTCATGAAGATAAACATGTAGATCATTACAATGAACTTCAAGAATTACCAAGGAGTATTTTCTGAGACAACTGTGAATACTCAGAGCCTAGAATGCCAGAAGTTTCTTAGAGTTCTTTATTTCCTATTACTAACATCTCTAACATTAATAGTTGGCTTTCTTTAAGAGACCTTTTCTTCCTTTCCTCTAATAAACTATTTTGAATACCTAAATAGCTTGACTTTCCCAAAGAGAACAATAGAATCAGGTTAACATTCAAGTCTTCTGCCTCAAAATCCAAAGATATGCTAGTATAACTTATAAACTATTATAGTTACAGATTTACAAGGTTGCTTATTAATATTTAGAACGAGAATGTTAAAGCTCTAAAATTCAAGGGTCTAGTAATTCATAAAATTAATACAAGAGCATAATTGGACTCCTGAAATATAGTATAAAATAACAACAATAAAAATATTGTTAAATAGCTTTCCTAATACCATCCTGACAGTTTTCACTGAAAAATGCTTAAATTATGTTCAAACTATTCCATTAACTTAGACTTATTCAAAAATAAACATACAACTGAGAAGAGTTTTCTGGTCAAACTTACTAACCAGACTTACTAATTGTAAAACAGCTCATCCATACAGATTTGAATAACAGAGGTTTTACTGTAATAAAAATTAGATAGAAGCCTAATTGGAGAGCAACATAGCAGATGGTATTGAGATATGTTAGTAATTGGAGAAAACTGTGTATAAATATGAAATAAATGTCCTGACTTTTAAACAACTTTTATTATTTTTTAGGAAATTGTTAAATACTGAACATGAAAAGTTTCTCTCTAACGTAACAGCTGCATCTCTGTCTTATTTCCTAGGGTTTTGGAAATCCCTCCGGTGAATATTGGCTGGGGAATGAGTTTATTTTTGCCATAACCAGTCAGAGGCAGTACACACTAAGGATTGAGTTAATGGACTGGGAAGGAAACCGAGCCTATTCACAGTATGACAGATTCCACATAGGAAATGAAAAGCAAAACTATAGGTAAGTCATGTTTCAGTGGAGTGCTTGGCTCCCTTTGACCTAGCCACTTAATTGTGAAAAAATTTTAAAATGATGAAAATCATCTTCCAAAATAAAAATTGTCTAGACCTATGACAAAGACACAGAAAAAGCCTGTAAAAACTTTTTCAGAACTTTAAATATACGTTTTCATAAACTGATTGTCTTGATGTTGGCTTAAATTTTAGTGAGTGTTGAATTAAGTCAAGCACAATATTGTTGTGTTGTTATTGTTATGAAGGTACAGTAAATTCACATATATGAAACTGATAACAGAAAAGACAAACTCAATGGTTTGAAATAAATCAACTGTCACTTCTACAAAACAATTTTCTTGTACTACTTTATTTTTTTAACTCTTCTTAAATTATCATTTTTCAAATTACCTTGAAGATGGGAAAAGTACACTTTTATGTTTTTAAATGATTTACATATAAGATGAGACATAACTTAGAAGTTTTTCGTAAATAATCCAAAGAGCAAAAATAAATTCAAATAATGGCATCAATATCATATCATAGAAGATGTAAAAATAGACAAAGTATACACTTAGTTGTAAATGGTTCTGAGTTTTTCAATGGCAAGTTTTCACACTGCAAAAAATATGGCTAAGGAAATAATGTGATGTGGTAGACTCTTTCTGTGAACTTATTGGGTTACTTCTATGTTCCAGGAATTCTCCTAGGTACTGGTGATTTGGTGATCGGTGACAAGGTCTCTAATCTTACAGATCTCAAAGTCAAACTTTGTTATTTACTACATCACTAAAAAGCTGGCTAGCATTTTTTTGAGAACATGGATGATATTTTATTTACTTTGTATCACTACATATTCATGCAATACTTGATGCATAACAGGTCCTTAATTATGTGTGTCTCAGTTTTTAATCAGTAAATTAGAGTTGCAATAATAGTTAACTCTCAATATTGGATATTTTACATCTTTCTTGGAAATATAAATGTGTACATTAAAGGATTGGCACATTGCTTCAAATAAATTACAATCACAGCAACAAAAGCCTTGTGCTTTATTCAGTCCGTGTGGCTATCTTCTCATAGCCCAACTGTTTCTGCTGCTTGTCTATTCAAGGCATACTATTCTTTTTTTTTTTTTCTTTTTTTTTGAGTTGGAGTCTCACTCTGTCGCCCAGACTGGAGTGCAGTGGCCGCTCCCGGCCACCGCAGCCTCACCTGCTGGCCTCCGGCGATCCTTCCGCCTCAGCCTTTCAAGTAGCCGGAATTACAGGCATGCGCTACCACTCCCGGCTGATTTTTTGGTTTATTGTAGAGATGAGGTCTCACCGCCCAGGCGGGTCTCGAATCCGCAGGCTCAGGCAATCCACTCACCTCAGCTTCCCAAAGGCGCGGGATTACAGACTGAGCCACCGAGGCCGGCTCATACTATTCTTTAGGGGCTTGAATCTGCATCTTTTCATGGGTACAACTCATTTTATTTTAATGACTTACTATGAGACTGGATCCATGGAGACAAAATAATCATTTTCTTAACAAATAGTAATGATGTCACCAAACAGAGGATGAGAAATAGATCTAAAGAGTTGATAGTCTCTTGAGGGAGCAAGGCTATACGTAATGGCAGCTCAAGAAACCAAGAAGAGACATTTATAAAATGCAATGGGGTGTAAGAAGAAATGTTTCCAAGGAGGTCAATATTTTGAGAGTTTTATAACAAGAAAAACCACTGTAAAACATCAGGGGTACTCTTATGTAAATGTTTTGACCTGAAACTTGAAACTATATGAAACTTGGCTAATGTCAGACAGCCTGACAGTAGGACTAGCAAGTAATTACTCTAGCCTTTTTCTAGACTCCTGAAAAATTTGCTTTGGTTTCTTTCCAAAATGTCTCTCAGTTCTTTTTAGGTGGTTGTGTGTGTGTGTGTGTGTGTGTGTCTGTGTGTGTGTGTGTGTGTGTGTGTGTGCGCGCGCACACGTGCATGCATACACATGTGTGTGAAGCTTAGGTAGTGCTAGGGAGACAGTATTTGGACAGGTTCAGGAGGATTGTCCGCATCTGCATTAGGCTTCAGAGTGTATGGTCTGAATGTCTTTCTGGCATTTGCATGTGGAAGAAGCATTTACCTTCTCTGAGAGTACCACACCCACTGGCCTCACTGAGCATTTATTTTTCATTCCCTCAACATTTATGTGATTCTGTACCTTCATCCATATGATATGGATTATGATAAAAAACGAAGTCTTCTCAGCTAGGGTGAGTCATACATGCTGAGATCTCCATTTTTCTTTTTTGAGGGAATTGTGAGCCTTGAGCACCAATATTATAAAACCATAATAAGCTTAATAATTTATTTCCAAACTTCTGGTTTTAGAGGAAAGAAAGCTGAGGTCTAGAAATATACAACATTTTGCCCAAAAAGGGAGACAGATTTAACTGTGAGATGTTTGACTCCTCCTCATTTAATGTGGTTTCTGTTCTGTCATGCTGCTGGAATAAAATTGGTGGTTCTGGCCTTCTCTCCTGCTGGGACCCAGTAGAAAGTAAGTCTGCAATCATCACCTTCTCATGCAATTATGTATGTGATTAACATTGGCATCAAGTGGGAAATTAGAACTCAATAAAGTATAAATGCTTGCTCTGGTGAATGATAAGTTAAAATAAACACACTATAAGATGGTGTTATTCACTTTTTCAGAAGAAAATGAAACAGAGGCTTGAAAAGAAAAACTAGCCCCTTGGGACTGTTCTCCCTACCTGTATCATCATGCATACCCAGTCCTGCTCCTCTAGGCCCAGTAAGGCCACATACGGCCTCCAGTAAGAACCCCAGTTGTCCATCATTGCTTTGGTGTGCTTTTCTTCCATTCATGCCTTTTCCCTCTGAATTAGGATACTTTGTGATAAATCATTCAGGGTATTACTACTGAGATTTGTATAACATTCTATAATTTATGAAATTACCTTTTTAGCACTTTAAATATGTAATCCTCATCATGACATTGGAAGGTAGATGTTATTAGGTACATTTTAAAGACAGGTAAGCTGAGGTTTTGGTCAATCAACTTGCTCAAATTCAATTAACTTTCAACTAAAATTCAAAAATGTGAAATCCATGCAAGTTTGTTTTATATTTTTAAGGGTTTTTTCTGTATTTTTCCTTTTTGAGTTATTTTCAGTTTTTTTAGAGTTTTCCTTTTTTAAAAAAAATTCTATTCTGAAAATACTATTTAAAAAATTCTCGTAATTGCTGCGGTCATAGTGTATAAACCTATTTTTATCTTTAAAAAATCTCTTTCATATTCTTGACATATACTGATTAAAAGAAAGTGTTGTAAATGGATAGATGAGCTTATACATGTGTCTGTAATACACATATTTTTATTTTATTCTCTAAGGAAATTCCAAATTAATTTCTCAGAAAGAAAATAAAATCTATAGAACCCAAGAGAGTATAAATAAGAAAAGTAATAATGTAAGAGTGTCATGATAAACTTATCAAGTGAAATGACACACAATCTATATGAAATTATTAAATACTTCCTCCAGAGATGTAGTGTTATCAGAACCTCATCATCTAACATCTAGACTATTATAGAGGCTTCCTGCTTCTAGTCATGACACTCTCAGATGTATCTTCCACACTGTTGTTGCAATGATTTTCCTAACAGCCATTCAGACTTGGGCTTCCCTGCTTCATATATTTTAACAATATTCAAATATTTGGGGGTTAAAGTCTACTACTAAGACTCTTCATGACTGGGCCACTACATACTTATCTAGCCATTGCTGCCATATACCCCTCTCAACCTTTGCCCAACCAGCTAGTTTCCTCATTATGATTATGTTCCAGTTACTATTTGCAATCTTCTCTCACTCCTCCATGCCTTTGTTTACCCTGTATGCTTACTCTACATACATAAACCCAGCTTTGTCACATGAAAACATCTTACATATTTAAGATCTTTCTTATTCCAATAAGTCTTCCCTGATACCTACTATGATAGGTGCTGTAATATGTCAACCCAATGCTACCCTTCAAACCTGAAGCACTTTGACTTCCAATTGCCAGAAATGTTGTTGGCTGACAGGTTTCAGCTGAGGTTGTCTCTCCAGACACTGCCTGTGGCTAAAGAGAGCCATATCACCCAAGGTCCCTGTTGCTTGCTGCAGACAGATTTGATCCACTGTCAATGTAGGAGTATAAATACCCTCTTGCCCCAATTCAGGGCAATGCTGAAGGACTATCTAAGGTCCAAAAGTCTACTTCAGGTAGCTGAGTTCTTCACCATGACTGCATGTGAGCCCTACTTCTCCCTCTGTTCAGTGCTCCTTTCTCCACTCTGCTAGAGATCCTAAGAACACTTCCCTCTACATTTTCATACACTGAATTCCAGGAGAAATGCATCACCTTTATCCTGAGGCCAGTTTGGATGCTTTGTGCTCCCACGGATCCATAGCACTCTGGATAACTGTCCAGTATCCACATTCTGGACAGTTACATTAACAAGTGGTTACTAACATACTCTCTCTCAATCTCTCTCTCTCTCTCTCTCTCTCTCTCTCTCTCTCTGTGTGTGTGTGTGTGTGTGTGTCTGTATGTGTTCTAAGCTTTTGTGGTATAGGAATCATTCTTAGCAAACTTCAAGATACATAACAAATTTAGTGAAAACATTAACTGAGTTGATAACTAATATTTAATATATCCATACATGAGAAAACAGAGGCATGGTAGTTTGCACAAGGTCACAGTCACTAATATGAGTAGAAACCAGAATGTGAACTTTGTTCTTATATTTACCTATCAATATGACCATCTCCTAATAAAAGAAATTTCATCAATTTCTGGAATTAAATAAATTAAAAACACATATTCTAAGATATGGTAATAGGTTTCTTCTAACCTCATTTCTGTCTTTAATAATTTGAAAGCCTGTGGACATATTACCTCATCTTTTCAGTTCTCTACTTTTTTGTCCTTATAAATTAAAGTATTTGTAAATCTCC